ATGTGAAAGTTCACACAAAAAGATCGGATTTTTTCAAAAAATCGGAACTGAGCATTAAGACCTGCAGTGTGAACGTAGCCTTAGTCATCAAAGAGCTATGTTTATTCTGTTACCCTCTCGTTATCGTCATGAAAAAAGGGGGTGTCAATGCAAATATTTCGTCATCGTTAATGAAAACCACATTGGTGTGGGTGGGTGACAGTAGCAACAAAAATGCATAATTAGCAAAAAGATACTCTTGGATTTGAATCAGTACATTTTACATCCAATGAAAGCAACAATGTTAAATAGTGCACTGATTGCAGTTTTCTGGCCCATCACCAATCTTTAAAATGTCTGACCTGCCGATTCCGATTTTGGTCGATACCAATTTTTTAAAAAAAATCTGACTCTGCCAGGTGCTATAAGGTTATAATGTTCTAATCTTATTTTATTAAAACACATTCAACAATACTCTTGAAACAATGCAAACTTGTTCTAACTGGACACGAGGTAGTGCTCACAAAAGCAAAAATGGACAGTGGCTGATTTTCAGACATTTGCGGAGGTAGATGAAAAGCCGATCTTTTCCACCAATTCTATCCAAGTATTGGCCGATCTCTGATCTCCCAAAATTAAGGATATCAATGCACCTCTAATGTTAACAAATAAATTGGACAATATTCTGCCAATGTAGTGATATTTCCACAGTTGTGGTCTTTACTGGTCTTGAAATAAAATCCCGAGTTCTCAATGTCCAAGACCAAGACTGAGTACAAATGCAGTCAAGTCGGAGACAAGACTGAGGTCATCAAAAAGTGNAGTTTTGTAAAAGCAGAGAAAAGCCTACAGTTTGGAGGCTGAATAGCAGGAAAGCAACTAAAACAAGCAGTCTTAGTGGCCCTCAAGGACATGGATTGGGCACTGGTGCTCTAAAAAATAAAAACCTAAGTGAGCCTGAAAGGACTCTTCTTTCCTTAGCTGTCTAGATACACAGTCACATTTCCTTTGTCATTTTATTAGACAGGTGAACTGAGGTCCATTATTGGCTTCAGCTGTCYTATAATAAGAGGGATGGGGGCCATCCTGACTCCCGTGGCCCTAAAATGACACAAAAATTACAGTCATTTGAACCAATGGAGCAAAAAGCTGTAATTATGAAAATGTCACACAGATATGAAGCCATCTTGTCTTACTCTGGACTCTAATCCTTCTTCCATTCACTTTTTATGTGAAACCAGATGTATTTCCCCAACACGTGTGTGTGTTTGGAGCTAAGAGTGAAGAGAATTAGCCTGAATCAAGACATTTTTCTCTCTAATTAAAGGCAGTGTCACCTCCAACTTAAAGGGCACAACAACGCCTTGCACCTCTTTTCACTAATTCACCTTATTTACGCGCTTTTAGTCTAGTTAATATCATCTCACCACGCCTCCTTGTCAATCTCCACATTTATAAGAGAAACAGCTGGGTCTGAACCTTCACCTGAAGAGTAGTAAAAACATGCAAAGCCTCTGTTGTCAATCACTTAAACAACAATGATTTGTTTGGCAAAGCCTTCAGTCWGATCCTGCTTTGAAAATTAGAAAACTGTTGCATTTTTTTGCCCTGATGACCAATCTGTTCACTGGTCAAAATAAAATGTTAAATTGCAAACTGATCAAAAAAAAACTGTTCATGAGTACAACACTTTTTTTCACCTTCTAATATTAGTGGTGTTTTTGTTTAAAGCTYTTTCCAATGAAGCTTTTCAGGGGAAAATTGCCAGAAAGTTGGTAATCTTTTAACACACAATCACTGAACGCTAAAGCTTAGCATGCGAGCACTTAGCTAAAAGTACTGCTGTGTCTAAGTACAGCCTTATTGAGCGACTTGAATAGCTGTAAACTGTGTTAGAGGTTCAGCTCAACCAATGTCGGCG